TTTGGGGTGGTTAATTCGTGAAAAGAGTCACTTTCTGTCTAGGTTGAGTAGCTAGGATTATAGGGGTGAGCCATCAGCAGCAGGCTCCTCCCATTTTCTTGTGTCTTTGGACATCAATGTGTTTCTAACAAGATAAATCTTTTTTTTTTTTTTTTAAATTTTATTTTATTTTATTTGAGAACATACTGTACAGAGGGGTTACAATTACATGGGCAGGATAATGCATACATTTCTTACCAAGCATTGCAGCCTCCTCCTTTGTAACAAGATAAATCTTTAGAGGTAAACCTCGAAGTAGCAGATGGATGATATCAAAACATGGAAACAAGTAAAAGTTCTCCAACATTCTTTCCCCTGACCCTTCTGTTGCCTGGTTTTTGAGACCATATCATTCAGTTTTCTGCAAATACCTGAGAGAAATAGCTTCTCATGAGAAAAGGCTCTTTTTCTTTTTTTGGTCGGTCACAGGGCTTGAACTCGGCCTGGGCGCTGTCCCTCAGCTTTTTCTAAAGATTCATAGAACCTTCCAGTAGTGTCACGCTCAGGCCATGCATAGAACTTTGTGGCACACAAACATCAAACTATAGTTGAGCTCATCTACTTGAGCCTTTAATTTCAGTTATTATATTTTTCTAAAAATTTCATCTGGTTCTTTTTTTGGGGGTGTGGGGGGGAGGTCAATCGTTGGGCTTGAAACAGGCCTGGGCACTGTCCCTGAGCTCTTTTGCTCAAGTCTAGCACTATACCACTTCGAGCCATAGCTCCACTTCTGGTTTTCTGGTGGTTAATTGGAGCTAAGTCTCACAGATTTTTCTGCCCAGGCTGGCTTTAAACTGTAATCCTCACTCTCCTGAGTAGCTAGGATTACAGATGTGAACCACTGGCTCCTCTGGTTCTTTGTGTTTACTACTTTTGTCAGGGCTTGCTATTTTTGTTGTTGTTGTTGTTGTTGTTTCCAGCTGTTGATAATTACTCATTGAAACATTAAAAAAAAGTACCTCATGCTTGTAATCGTAGCAACTTGGGAAGCTGAGATCTAAGGTTAGAAGCAAACTAGGCTAGGAAAGTACATTGGACTTTATCTTCAATTAACCACCAAAATTAGAGCTGTGGCTCAAGTAATAGAATATCAGTCTTGAGAGAAAAACTGGTCTCTGAGTTACAGCCCCAGTACCATCTTGCGTGTGCACATGCACACTCACACAATTGTTATTCTGTAGATAGATACTTTGTCATTTAATTCTTTGTCATCTTGGTCTTGGCTTCTGTATGTGTTTATTCATTCGGTTTGATACAGCTATTGGTATTAGAAGTGACTTTTAATTGAAGTCTTGAGCATTTCATATAAGAGCTTGGGTCTTGGCTGGGCGCTGGTGGCTCATGCCTGTAATCCTAGCTACTCAGGAGGCTGAGATCTGAGGATCGCGGTTCAAAGCCAGCCCGGGCAGGAGACACCGTGAGACTCCTGTCTCCAATAAACCACCAGAAAACCGGAAGTGGCGCTGTAGCTCAAGTGGTAGAGTGCTCGCCTTGAGCTGAAGAGCTGAGGGACAGTGCCCAGGCCCAGAGTTCAAGCCCCACGACCAACCAAACAAAAAAACAAAACAAAAATAAGAGCTTGGGTCTTGTTGAGCCCTTCTATTGATATCTGATGGGGGGGTGCAGTGGGGAGGGAAGAATGGGAGAATGCAGCATTGCCTGTTGCAGCCTGGTATGGTTGGAAATCCAGGGGTTCTCCTGGGTTTCCACTGATTGCTAAGGCAGGGAAAGCTTCTGCCTATTCTTTGGCTGGGTAAGGGTTCCAGTTCCCCAAGTACTCCCACCATACTTCAGTGGAGGTGGCCTCAGAGTTTCTCCCCTGGGTCTTTTGCCTCCACCCTTAGGTAACTGGGTGGGATGGGGAAGGAAGGGGCTCCTGTACTCCCTGACAGAACTTTTAGTACTTCAGGCCTGCTTCCTTGGCCTTCTCTGACATAAGCCCAGCCAGCAGCTGGTTTCTTAAGTGGAGGATAAAATAAGCACTTTGTTTAAAAAAAAAAGAAAGAAAAAGGTATATAGAGTGATCACAGTTTTGGGGGCTGGGAAGGTGCATGCATGAGGCCCTGGGTTTGATTCCTCAGCACCACATAAGCAGAAAAAGCTGGAAGTGGGGCTGAGGCTCAAGTGGTAGAGCGCTAGTCTACAGCTGAAGAGCTGAGGGACAGCGCCCAGGCCCAGAGTTCAGGCCCCATTACTGACCAAAAAAAAAAAAAAAAAAGTGATCACATTTTTTTTTGGGGGGGGGGGGGGGGGTCGGTCGTGGGGCCTGAACTCTGGGCCTGGGCGCTGTCCCTCAGCTCTTCAACTCAAGGCTAGCACTCTACCACTTGAGCCACAGCGCCACTTCCGGCTTTTTTTTCTTAAGTGGTGCAGAGGAATCGAACCCAGGACCTCGAGCATACAAGGCAAGTGCTCTACCATTGAGCCACCTTCCCAGCCCAGTGATCACATTTAAAAAAAAATTATTTTTGCCAGTCCTGGGGCTTGAACTCAGGGCCTAGGCACTGCCCCTCAGCTTCTTTTGCTCAAGGCTAATGCTCTACCACTTGAGCCATAGTGCCACTTCTGGCTTTTTCTGTTTATATAGTACTGAGGAATCAAACCAGGGCTTCATGCATGCTAGGCAAGCACTCTACCACTAAGCCACATTCCCAGCCCTAATATTTATATTTTAAACAGGTTTTTATTTCTATTAGAAGCAGTGAAAAGTGTCCAAACATATAACATTTTTCTTGCTTTTTTTTTTTTTTTTTTTTTTGCCAGTTTAGTAGTTTTCACACAGCTGTGATCAAGCAGACAGAAATTTCGTTGAATTCTTCAGACTAGTTCTATGTCTACCAAGCTTTACTGTTTTTTTAATTAGTTTTAAATTTAGATTTTTTTGTATTTATAAATTTGCTGCTATGTATATTTAAAACAAGAAGGATAAAAATAAAATAACATGACAAATTGTAGGTAGCTAAAGTCACAATCTGGTGTGAAATACCTATCACCAAGCCAAATGGCAAGATGATGTGTTAGCTTTATCTGTGGTTAACTGCACTGTGGGTCATCATTGCTCAGGCCTGTACATGATACTCGGCATATGCCAACTAGCTAGGCAAATTGCGGTGCTAAGTAGGGTGATGATGTAGTTCTGGGACCTGACTTGTGTGGTCCACAGGCAACTTCCTTGGGATTTCTGAGGTCCTGGAAACCAAGTGAGGAGTCCTGGGCCTCACAGGAATTCTACTCAATCAGAAGGCCAGGGCCCTCGTTTAAAATGTTTCCTTGAGTTATTTATAGTCATGCTAACATTTTAAGAACTAGACTCCTTTGAAAGTAAAATTATGTACAAGTTACAATATTAGAACTTGAGGCGCTGTGATTATTGCTCATAAAAAGTTATCATATTTTAAACCAAGTTTAATTGCAGCTGTTGTGCTGTCTTGATTTTAGAGTGGGGTTCTCGGACCTTCCTTATATACTCCATTCATTAAATAGGATTAGAAATTGCTTACTTAAAGGTAACTTTGATATGGGCTATTAATAAGGACTTTTGTTTCTTTAATGGGAGTAAGATTGTAGATATTTAACTTTGGAGACAAGCCTACCTCCAATTTTTTTTTTAATGTCATAAAGAATACTGTCAGAATTCAGAATAAGAAATAAGCTTTAGGGCTGGGAATGTGATTTAGTGGTAGAGTGCTTGCCTAGCATGCTTGAGTCCCTGGGTTCAATTCCTCAGTACCACATAAAAAAACCACAAGTGGCTTTTTTGGCTCAAGTGGTAAAGCTCTAGGCTTGAACATAGATAGAGAGGCTCAGGTGGACAGTGCCCAGGCCCTGAGTTGAAGGCCCAGGACTAGCAAAAATATAAAATAAAAATAAAAATGAAAGAAAAAAAAAGAAATAAGCTTTATATTCCAAGAAACCCATGAGAGACTTCATCTTGCCTCTAAAGCAAGACACAGGGACAAGAAATCCCTATGGGATTGGGACACTGTTAAATAGAAGTGCCATTACTTACATGGGGCTATATAAATTTAATTTAACTAAAAACAAAATAACATTCAGAACTTCAGAACTCCTGATTTTAGTGTACACTGGTCAGGTGTTGCTAGTGGCTACCACACTGGGAGGTTGTAATGTACATTGTGCAGTTCTGTCACAGCACTTGTCTGGACTGGTCTGGTTTTTGTTTTTGTTTGTTTGTTTGGTTTTTTTTGGCAGTCTTAGCCTTCTGAACTCTGGGCCTGAGTGCTGTCCCTGAGTTCTTCAGCTCAACGCTAGCAATTTATCAATTGAGCCACAGCTCCATGTCCGGTTTTCTGAGTGGTTTATTGGAGATAAGTGTCTCACGGACTTTCCTGCCCTGGCTGGCTTTGAACTGAAATACTCAAATCTCAGTTTCCTGAATAGCTAGTATTACAGGTGTGAGTCTCCGCTGCGCTTCCTGGCTTGGTCTTTTTTTTTTTTTTTTGGTTGTGAGGTTTGAAGTTAGGGCTTGGATGCTGTCCCTGAGCTTTTTTTGCTCAAGGCTAGCACTCTACCACCTGAGCTACAGTGCCATTTCTGGCCTTTTCTGTTTATGTGGTACTAAGGAATGGAACACAGGGCTTCATGAATGTTAGGCAAGCACTGAACCATTAAGCCACATTCCCAGCCTCCCACTTCTGGTGTTTGAATGGTTAATTGGAGATAAGAGTCGCACAGGGACTTTTCTGCCATAGCTGGCTTTGAACAGTGTTTCTCAGATCTTAGCCTCCTAGGATTACAGGTGTGAGCTACCAGTCTGGTCATTTCTAAGAAGAAAAACAAGGCAAATGAAAGATCAAAATAATAAAGACCTGGATCTTTGCCTTCCGTCCACAATGCAGTGTTTATATCTTCTGATAACTTTGATTATGAAATTCATAGAAAGCTCTGTCATTGTGAGTATCAGCATATTGACTGTGTTTTGATGTTGATTCTCTTTCTAGGCTGGCAGTGATGGTGAGAGCATAGGAAACTGCCCCTTTTCCCAGAGGCTCTTCATGATTCTTTGGCTCAAAGGAGTTGTATTTAGTGTCACCACTGTTGACCTGAAAAGGTAAGACACATTGCACTTCGTTTGCGAGCAGCACTTTACTGTCCATACATTTTGATTGCATATAATAGAAATCCATTTCATTAAAAGTCCACTGTTGATGGACAGATTTAACCTATGTAAGTATTACAGTCAAAATGGCAGTAAGTTGTATGTTGCTGCCCAGTCTTATTGGGAACTTAATGAGCAGCTCCTGGACTTAGGTTTTATTTTAGCCCGGGTGCAGTGAAATCCTTGAACTATCCAGTACAGACGGAACCATGAAGAACTCTCTTGGCAGTCATCATTTGTCTCATGTGACCAATGAGATCTGGTCCTTAAAGGCAGGAATGGAGGGTAGGAGGTGTTGCTCAGTGGCAGACTTCCTGCCTGGCATGTGTGAAGCGCTTGGCTCCAACCCCAGCATGGAGGAGAGAAGACAAATCTGTTTAGAAGCAGAGTACTGTTGTCGGTTTCATTTAGCCTGCCTTTCAAGGAATAGCTAGTTAAATTGTAAACTTAAGAACAAATACCCACAGCTCTGTGATTGTTCTTGCTAGTTGAAGAGTTGCATCTAGCTTTTTCTTCATAGGTCCAAGTAGAGATTTCTGAGACGAACCCTGACAAGTAGTATTTTTTTTTTTTTTTTTGGTGCCAATCCTAAGGCTTGAACTTAGGGACTGGGTGTAGACCTTGAGAGTCCTTTGCTCAAAGTTAGCACTCTACCATTTGAGCCATAGCTCCACTTCTGGCTTTTTGGTGGTTTACTGGAGATAAGAATCTTAATGGTCGGGCTGGGAAGGTGGCTCAGTGGTAGAGTGCTTGCCTTGCATGCATGAGGCCTGGGTTCGATTTCTCAGCACCATATAAGCAGGGGGAAAAAAAGCCGGAAGTGGCACTGTGGCTCAAGTGGTAGAGTACTAGCCTTGAGCTGAAGAGCTGAGGGACAGCACCCAGGCCCAGAGTTCAGGCCCCATGACCGGACCCAAAAAAAAAAAAAAGAGTTTCAGGGACTTTCTTGTACTGGCTGGCTTTGAGCCATGTTTCCCAGATCTCAGCCTCCTGAGTAGTTAGGATTACAGGAGTGAGCAATCGGCATCACCTAAGTCTTTGTTTTTATCTAGGAACTTAGGTTTTTCTTTGGAAAATAGGTACAAGGTGAAAAAACATTCATACTCCCTTCCTTTCCATAAGATTGAAATCCAAGGTTAAGAATAGTTGTACTTCTGGGTGTCGGTGACTCACGCCTGTAATCCTAGCTACTCAGGAGGCTGAGATCCAGGATCCTGGTTCAAAGTCAGCCCAGGCAGGAAAGTCCATTCTTGAGACTCTTATCTCCAATAAACCACTCAGAAAACTGAAAGTGGCACTGTGGCTCAAGTGGTAGAGTGCTTGTTTTGAGCTGAAGACCTGAGGGACAGCGCCCAGGCCCAGACTTTAAGCCCCATGACTGACCTCCTTTACCCCCTCTCAAAAAAAAAAAAGAAGTATAGTTGTACCAATGGAAGCTTCGTGCTCTGGCAGTATTGTTACTATTCCTTGCGCGTGCGTGCGTGCGTGTGTGTGCATACGTGTCTATGTGTGTCTATTGCTGGGGTTGGAACCAGGCCTCCTGGATGCTTTGCAAACACTGTACTACAAAACTGCAGCATGTAGCTGGCCCCATGTATTCCTCCTAACATCAGTGCCTCTGCATTATCAACTGTTTATTTTTAAGCGTATCAAGTCATTAGTAGTGTTCAGAGGAAGATACTGATAGGCTGTCACTTAGGTGGTGAGAGATGAGGTATATTATCTGTCTGCCAGCCTCACAGCCTGGAGCTACCTGAGAGCTGTAATCCTATCCCCAGGTAGGTTAGCTAGCATCTTTGGGGTCTCTGTCAAAGATCCCTAAAATTTATTCTTACTCCCAGTGCAGGTTTTCAAGTTTTTTGTACTTAAACTACATTTATTGAAAAATAAGCCATGAAGTCTTCCAGGAAATTTATTTTTCATGCATCTGTATACATGTTGTTTTTGTTGTTGTTTTTCAAGGCAGGGTCTCAATGTGTAGCCCAGACTGGCCTTAAAACTTGAGGTCCTCCTGCCTTCTCCTGTGAGGGCACACCCATCCTTGTCTACAGGTGTACACCACCATACTCATGTCAGGAACCTTTACAGATATATCCAACGAAGTAAGCCTCGGAGGGTAGTCAGCTAAAACCACAACCCCCAGGGGAGACATTACTTTGTATTTATTTATTTATTTGTCTGGTTGTGGGGCCTGAACTCTGGGCCTGGGCACTGTCCCTCAGCTCTTCAGCTCAAGGCTAGCGCTCTACCACTTGAGCCACAGCGCCACTTCCGGCTTTTTTTTTCTTTTTGCTTATGTGGTGCTGAGGAATCAAACCCAGGGCCTCATGCAAGCAAGACAAGTGCTTTACCACTGGGCCACCTTCCCAGCCCCGACATTACCTTGTTGATGGTGAACAGCTATTTTAAGAATGAAGTTTTTGGAAGTGGTACTGTGGCTCAAGTGGTAGAGCACTCACCTTGAGCTGAAGAGCGCAGGGACAGTGCCCAAGCCCAGAGTTCAAGTCCCACGACCAACCAAAAATAAAAAAAATTAAGTGTTTGCCATATTGAGTTGGCATTGTACAGAAATTAATAGCCCTATTGGTCTAGAAATGTTAATCTTAATTTTTTCCAATTTTGGCAGGGGTAAATGCACTGTATTAAATATGTAAGGTCTTATCTACATGGGTTTGATTAAAGAAAGTAATAAAGTATCAATTAAAAAATAGAAAGAATGAAGTAAATAACCCTGGAGCTGGTGGCTCAAGCCTGTAATCCTAGCTACTTAGGAGGCTGAGATCTGAGCTTCACTGTTTAGAGTCAGCCCCAGCAGGAAAGTCTGTGAGACTCTTATCTCCAATAAACCACCAGAAAACCAGAAGTAGTGCTATGGCTCAAGGTGTTGAGTGCTTGCCTTGAGCTGAAGAGTTCAGGGATAGTGCCCAGGCCCAGAGTTCAAGCCCTATAACCGACAAAAAAGAAAAGAAAAAAGAGGTAAGTTGTGCAGTTATCCTTCTATTACTGTTTCTTTCCTACATGCATTTATAAAGAAAGTTTCCCAACATAACTCCTAAAAATAGACCCACAACCAGGCACACACCCTTACTGTCCTAAAATACTTGAGTTCTCCTCCATTTTTGGCTTGGAACAAGTGAGTTGACTGCCTTGCTTTTAGAAAGCCTTCTTTGACTCGCTCAGTACAGTGCTTGATTGTGTCCACAGCCTAGCAAGAATGGCTCTGGCTCAGGAGATGAAGCAAAGTAATCTGTCTTTTTGTTCTTTTTTTTTGGGGGGGGGGGGGTCTGGTCGTGGGACCTGAACTCTGGGCCTGGGCGCTGTCCCTCAGCTCTTTAGCTCAAGGCTAGCGCTCTACCACTTGAGCCACAGCGCCACTTCCGGCTTTTTTTTTCTGCTTATGTGGTGCTGAGGAATTGAACCCAGGGCCTCTGGCATGCAAGGCAAGCGCTCTACCACTGAGCCACCTTCCCAGCCCTAATCTGTCTTTTTATATATGCACTTTGTAGGGCATCACTGCTGTATGCTAGCTGATACCTGAGCTTTTGTATATGTTAGAAATTTTTGTATGCCACATACAAAAGGTACTCATAATTATCAATGATCTATACACACATAAAATTGAAGCATGTATTTCCTAGTCTTCAGTGTATCTAAGGAAGGTTGTTTATGATAAAGTCTGGCAATGTCGCCCAGGCTGGCTTCAAAAGAAAAAAAAAATTTTTTTTTTTTGGTCCGGTCGTGGGGCCTGAACTCTGGACCTGGGCACTGTCCCTCAGCTCTTCAGCTCAAGGCTAGTGCTCTACTGCTTGAGCCATAGCGCCACTTCTGGCTTTTTTCTTTTTGCTTATGTGGTGCTGAGAAATCGAACCCAAGGCCTCATGCATGCAAGACGAGTGCTCTACCACTGAGCCACCTTCCCAGCCCCTGGCTTCAAAATTTTTATTCTCCTGCCCCCTACTGGGATTATAGGAGTATACCACTATATCTAGCTTAAAAAATGCTTTTCATTGGGGCTGGGAATGTGGCTCAGCGGTAGAGTGCTTGCCTAGCATACATGAAGTCTGGGGTTTGATTGCTCAGTACCATATAAAAAGAAAAAGCCTTGGCTGGGAAGGTGGCTCTGCGGTAGAGTGCTTGCCTCCCATGCATGAGGCCCTGGGTTCCATTCCTCAGCACCACATAAGCAGAAAAAAGCCGGAAGTGGCACTGTGGCTCAAGTGGTAGGGCACTAGCCTTGAGCTGAAGAGCTGAGGGACTGCCCAGGCCCAGAGTTCAGCCCCCACGACCGACAAAAAAGAAAAAAAAAAAAGCTAGAATGGCTCTGTGGTTCAAGTGGTAGAGTGCTAGCCTTGAGCAGAAGCAGCTAAGGGACAGTGCCCAGGACTAGCAAAAAAGAAAAAAATGCTTCTACATTGTGTTCATAACCTAGTTTATGAAATTGAAATTCCTTTGCACAATCCTTAGAAATACTAAGAAAAGCTGGGTGCAGTACATGCACACACACACACACACACACACACACACACACACACACACACACACACACATTCTATCCTATAATCCATCCTAGCTACTCAGGAAGTTGAGCTCTGAGGATCATTGGTTCAAAACCACTTCAGTCAGGTGAGACTCTTAATCTCCAGTGTCACCTAGAGCACTAGCCTTGAACCAAAAATCCCAAGGACAATGCCTAGATTCTGAGTTCAAGCCCCCGGACAGGCACACACACTAAAAAGCTAAGGGCAACAAAAGTATGTAAGTGGCCCATGGTAATGGTCCCTTCCACCCCCAGCCTGCTTGTCAGCCCCCCTTCACTGCTCTTTATTCTATCAGAGCTGTTCCTATAGTTTACCCACTTGCGGTTTTGAACAGTTTCAAAGAGAAGACACCCCAGGAGAGTGAATACTGATTCACAAACAAAGTGTACAGGGGCTGGGAAGGTGGCTCTGTGA